ATCTGTCAGGTATAGACATCTAAGCTAGGGCTCCGAATGTGTGAATTCAGAAGCAATGTGCTGAAATATATAATGTGTCATAGAGAGATATGAAGAAAAGAACTCCAGTGCTGCTTTCTAATGGAAAAGCTTGAATTCTTAGAGCAGAGGAAGCATTGGGTTTAAAAGGGAAACTATTTTCATAATAAAAAAGCAAAGATAACCATGTTAGTTCATAAAATTCCCTCCAAAATCCAGTTGGGCAATTATTTTATTAGGACTAACAAAAATAAATAAATACACATTTCCCAAGTTGTCCAAAACTCGTCAGGTGAAGAATTTTGGAAAACTCGAAAGCTTGCCACACTTTGTGATTGCTTCCAGTAAAGATATTGTCCTCTTGTAGGTTTTAGAGTATTCTCATAGTTTTCTTCTGCATGTCATCCTCTCACTGATTTTATTTTTTTTTAAAAAATGATATTTATTAAGAGTTTAAGAATTACAGAAAAAAGAGAAAAAGAAAAGAACAAAAAATTTAACAAAGCATACATTACAATACATAAAGAGAAAAACATAAAAAACAATACAACAATACAGCAAAAACACACACACAATAACATTAAAACACACATCCAGTGTTCCATATCTTTATCTTTCATTTACTTGTTTCATCGACCTCCTCACACCTCCTTTTTGTATTCTAATTTAATTAATTGTTTCAGCAAATTCGTTCCATCTTTCTCAATTTTTGTTATATAATTTATCTTAACGATCTAACCTTTTAATTAACTCAACAAATCCTTTCCATCTTTCACTATATTCTGTCATTCAATTTACCTTAATTTATTTAACCTTATCTTGCCATAAAAAAACCCCTTAAAACTTAATGTACATAACTCCTTATATCCTTTCTACTAAAGCCAAATAGTTTCATTCCAACATTTTTCCTAATACTCATTAATTTTACACTAATTCTCAAAATAAATTTTTAAAAACTTTCTTCCAATCTTCATCCAACGTCTCTTCTTCCTGGTCTCGGGTTTTGTCAGTCCTTCTTGTCCATTCCATCTAGTCCATCAACCTGGTGATCTTATGTCCGAGGCTCTTAAGTCTTTTCCATGTCCCTTCTGCAGATCTTCTTCTTGTTTATACCTGCACTTTACTTTGTCTTTTGTTGATCTTTTCTTAATTTCTTTCCTTTCTCATTGGGGGGTAGGTCTCGGAAGGACTCCAATCCAAAAATATCTCCATCTCTCCTCAGCAGATCAGCCCATTCCCCACAGTCCCATTCCCCACAGTCAACACTGTAATCCAGAAAGTATTTAAAATCCGTGTTTCAAAGTCCTTCCAAAATTAAGAGCCCTCACAGCTCCAGACCCCCCCCGGTCCACTCCAGATTCAAACTTCAAGAACAGCGGCTTATGCTCCTGCAAGGCCTCGGATCTCTCCATTTGTGTTACTCTCACTAATTTTAAATGAAACCCACACATATGCTGTTTAAATGTAAGAAACAACATTGTTGCCTTAATGCATTTTAAGGATTACTGTTGTCATCATGATGTACCATCTCCAGGTGTGAGCTTCTCCCAAGCATCAGGTCGGCCACAGTGAGAACAGGATACAGGAATGGATGGGCCACTGGCCTTTTCTTATATTCTTAGAAGGCTGAGAAATCCTATCTGAAATTCAGGTTCCTATGTCGCACCATCAGAGCTTATGGCATGATATAAATTATTTTGATGTAGAAATTGTAAGATTTAAAACTCAATAAAATAAATTAGAAGAGAGCAAGAAGGGAAGAAAGTAGAGGAAAATGCACTCACAGGACTTGATTGACAAATCCATCTTGACAGTGCTGTCATTCCTGATTTCCATGGTAACACTGTATGTGTGAAATTTGAATCTTGGCATTGCTCTAGCTCAAAAACATAAGAAGTTAACATCTCAAGAGGCCTGCTAGATCAGACCAAAGGCCCATCTATTCCAGCATCCTTTTCCCACAGTGCCCTGTCAGATGCCCATGAGAGAAGCATATAGACAGGATCTGAGCACCACAGTGCTCTCCCACTCATGTTCCTCATCAGCTGATATTCAGATATTCAGCTTGTGCAACTTTACAATCTTGCAAATGGCCTTAGGTTGCCACAAATTCATCACTTAACATTTTTATTGTTTGTGTCATTGTTGTATACAATTTTTGAAGTAATTAACGCACCTACAAAAACCATCTGCTTCTCTCATGCTATTGTTAATCTAGAATTTAATTAGCTTCACAGACTGAAGAAACATTTGCTGTTAAGCATGCTTACAGATGTTTATGGCCTTTATAAGATATTAAATGAAAACAATTGACAGGAACACCTATTATCCTTTCTATTTCTGGCACATCAAGAACTGTTTATCCCTCACATTAGGTCAACAAGCAGAACAGAGATGAAATCTAATATCTTTGAACTTTATTTTTTCAAGAACTCAAAGGTTAAATAATTGATTAACATCTGCACTCTAAATAATTTTCAGCATTAAACATAAGCCTATCAATAGTTTATTTCAAATATCTTTTAAGTCTCTAGTTCTGAAAATTCAATATATAGGCAAAGCATGACCTTTACGAATGAGAGGGAACATATGGACCTATTTGACAGAGTTACTATGTTTTGCCATTTTGATAAATTTTGAGTTCTGAGAAAGATTTTTTTTTTTTTTAGATATTGCAAGCAGACTGCTTTCTAAAAGCTAATTATTAAATTTATTAAGCTGTTGCAGATAGCCAGCTGTAATGTACAGCCCACCTGTGTGTTTCTCTGCACCAGGCATAATTTTATGCCCCTCTGTCATGCCTTCCCTTCCTCATCTTTTTTCAAAACTAAAAAGTCTAATACACTTGATCAGAGTTGCTCAAATTGCTTCATTATTTTAGTTGTCTTTTTTCTGTACATTTTCCAGCTTTACAATATCCTTTTTTTGAGATGCAGGACGGACTTTGGTATTTCAGATTTCAGCAGCGCCCAGTGCTAGCCCAATTCTCAACCTCCATTCTGCTCAATTCACTACATCATAGTTGTGATGCCCTGTTGCGCCCCTAGGCTCAGCGCCCGGTGTGGTGGAAGTGGTTGCACTGCTATAAATTCGCCTCTGATTCCCACTGTGGTCACATCATAGATCTGTATAAAGGCATTGTGATATTGGCACTTTTATTTCAGTTCCTTTCCTAATGATTCCTATAGCAGGGACTGGCTCAGCTATATATAGCGCTGAACATCTGTGCAAGATGAAAACGTGACTTTCTAATGAGTAGCTGGCTCTCATATTTTTTAAAAAATATTTTTATGTTGGTAGTCTGCTTTTTGTGAAGACACTAAACATTTTAGTGTTTAGACTAGAATCCACCGCTTGTTAATAAAAATAATACTAATACTACTACTAATAATAATTTATTATTTATATCCTGCCCATCTGGCTGGGCTTCCCCAGACACTTTGGACGGCTTCCCCAAAAATATTAAAATACTGTAATACAGTATTTTACAGAAAAGTCCATGTGATTTACCAAATATATTAGTGAGGTGGAAATTTTGTCCTGTGGGCTTAATTAGAGCTGTGAGGCCATTATCCCTGACCCACACCTGACATCATATGTGGAACAGGTAATGACAATTGGGAACATATAGTGGCTGCTGAAGGAGTCATTCTGTTCATGGAATGAGCTTGGGTCTAGCAGAAACTTGAGGAAATAGAAGTGGAAGACAATTTTTGCCAATCTACCCTGCAGCCAAAAGCTGTGACCCAAAGCACCTTATTTTGTGAATAAAATTCTGAATCTAGCTCAGTATTATTAGTTGTGTTTTTGGGGGGTTTTAGATGCAGAGATTGCAATTTGTTTTTGTTTTGGCAACATGCATCAAAACTGTTTTTTTGAAGATCTTTATCAACATTTGTGGAATAGTCTTCTTATGAAGAAAAGGCTACTATTTATGATGATCCTAGACACTTGAATTTGCAATAATTTCCTATGGATTGTGACTTACAAATATTGAGTTATGGCATTTTTAAAAGTAATAATTACATATGTATGTGTAAGAAAAATAAAAACTATAAGGACCTTGTGATTATGGATCAGGATAACATAAAGACTTCACAATCCTGGCTGCTTTTTCTTTAAAGCAGGAAGAAACAAAGAAATCAATAAACCTGAGTAAGAGTGCACAGTAAATCTTGCTTACGAGATGCCAGGATAATTCCATGGAACAGTGTGTCTTGTGTCATTTAAAACAAAGCAATAGTGTGGTGGTGGTATGGATTTAAATACTGATATAACACATCAGTAGGCTTTTATTTTTAATTCATCTGTGCTGTCTGGAAGTATGACAACTTCACCAAGCTAAAAGATGCATTCATAACCAAGTAATTATTTTTGTCATGGTGTTTTACTGCTTGTATAATGTTCCTAGGTTCCAGTTTGTAAAACATTAACTACCTCCAGAATTAGTTATTATTTTTTAAAGAAAATACTTTGTGATGAACTTGTGCTTAGACTAGAAGTGAGGCTCCAACTCCCCTCCTCCCTATTGATGTTGCTGCATGGGGCTGATGGAAATTGGACTCCGATTGGAAGTTAGAACATTTGTAGGCCCACAGATTCCTCATGTCTGGCACTTATCTATTGGGGAGTTTTTTCAGTTCTGTGGCCTCCGTCCCTGCCATCTGAATCTCCCCCTCCAACTTTTTTGTAATGTCCAGTGAAGATTTGGACTAAACTTAAAAGTGTTCGAACTAAAATGGTCAAACTGTTTTCCCAACTGACAGGAGGGAGGCAGCAGTAAATTACATGAAGTAAGTGCAGTTAACTCTTTATTACAAGGGAGAAAAAAGCAAGATCTACACAGGAGTGCCAGGAGTACACGAACCCTTCAGGTTGGATAAGCCTTCTAAATATATGAATGGAACATAGTCGTACCATTGATCCCTCAAGGCCTGTACTAACTGGCAGTGGCTCTCCAAGGTTTCAGAGTGACCTCTGCCTGGAGACACCAGGGGTTGAACCTGGAACCCTCTGCGTGCAAAGCAAATGTTCTGCCACTGAGTCATGGCTGTTCACCAACAGTTAAATTATGTAGATCACAGGTTCCAAAACTGTGGCCTGTGAACCACCGGAAGTCCTCCAGTTTGATTTAGATGGTCTACAACAGTGTTTCTCAACCTGTGGGTCCCCAGATGTTGTTGGACTACAACTCCTATCATTCCTAGCCAGCATGACCAGTGGTCAGGGATGATGGGAGCTGTAGTCCAACAACATCTGGGGACCCACAGGTTGAGAACCGCTGGTCTACAGCATGTCTGTGGATTTGTGGCTTAAGATGGGAGATGGAGCACCCATTGAATTGGTTTTTTATATTGACTTTTAATTATATGTTTATTGTTTTTATTTCTAATACTGTATTTTACAGTAATACAGATCGCAAAATCATTAAGTGGTCCACCAAGACCATCAGCAATTTTCAGGTGGTCCATGGGGCAGGGAGGTGGGAGAGTTTAGGACCCGCTGGTTTAGATAGTTAATTAGGTAATTGTGAAATATTCAGAAGGTTTAGAAATATGTATCATCTCACTGAAGCAAAGACTGGACTAACTCTCATTCTTGTAGATTTTTGTCCCAGAGGAGGTTGCCCCAAGCAAATCTTCTGTTAATCCCATGTGCTATGTTAACTTTCAAGAGCAATTGTCTTCTCTGTTTCTTAGGTGTTTGAGGAGTATTTTCCTTGCGGCTTTAAAAACACATCCTTTGTAGCCCATTATGCTACCATTATGTTTTTATAAAAATTGGGCTGCATGAGCCTGACGTCACACTGCTCAGATAAAAGAGACACTCTGTGTTATCTAATTGCTGCATATGTCTAGCTTTTATGCCCAATTGTACCTATACATCAAAGTGTTTTTAACACAGACTCTGCAAACAATGTTCTGAAAAATATTAATGTATCTCAAGATAACATAACTTCTGTCTGCTACATACTGTGTAATGTGGCTCCCAGCTGTGTGCAACTGTGTATATCCCATTATTAGAGCATGCTGTGATGCTACACTCCTAAACTTCAATATATTATAATTAATATGAAATGTTTATACAGAATGTAAATATTTAGTGCCTGTACTGTGGAATATTTGCAAAGGAGATTCATTGACACGATTAGCAGCTAATGTCTAAGAATTGAAATACACCAGGTGTGCTTGTTAGTTGTTTTAGTGCTGGAATGAAACTACACTACCACCTGCCAAGTATTTTAATGTTGCTTTCATAACAGTGGCCGAACTGGAAAAATCAGAGTGCAGTCCCTGAAGATTGGCTTGATGTCTCTTTCTAAGGGCCTTCTTGAGGAGAAGTATAGATGTGAGTATTATGGGAACGCCCCCATTTTCTTTAAGCAATATCGTAATATGGTTTTATCACGCCAAAATGCTTAGCAATAATGTTGCCAAAAGTCAGTGACCATTATATTACAGGAACATGTCTGCAGAGTGAGGTTCAGGCACTCAATTCCAGCAAGAGCTGTCAATTATGTCACGTTTGGGCAGAGGGACTAGAAACGTTAATTGTTCTGCATAGTTTAGAATGATTAGCTCTTTGTTGTGATAAACAGCACAAACAGAACATGCATATATTTAATTTATGGAAGCAGCAAGCAGTGAGGAGTGAACCAGAGTTGATTGAAGCAGGTGCAGTTGTGTGATAACACCAATGCAAAAGAACATGCCAGTATAGTGCCACTGTGCTAAATGTGGTGACTTTACAATCGCCTTTTGCTCTGATATTTGATCTTGGGGAATATTTCAGCTTCATTCTCAACCAAGCCAGCTTTCAAATGAAATGTGCATTGAAAATGCACTGTAATGCCCAAGGCCATCAGTGTCAAGGTCAAAGTGTTTTAGGACTTACGTAAATGCAGTGATGAGAGATATTGTGGTCCTCCAGATGTTGTCTAGCACCCATCATCCTTGGCAGTTGATTGTACATATGGGAACTGGCAGCCCAACATCTAGAGGAACACAGGTAATGGTTTTCCATCCATGCCCACGTGTTCCTAGTTGCCAATTGTATTACTTTCTTCCATGGCAACTTTCCAGAACCATACTGTCAAAAAGCAAATGTCTTAACTAGCACTTAATAGGGTCAAAACTTCAAACCATTATTTCTTCACCAGGTGACTCAAGAAATCACAGTAGTTTTCACATATATTTCTACTGTGTACAATTTAGCTGTTACAGTTGAATTCTTGAGAATGACTTAAGTGAAAGTCTGATGTTAATGGAAAATCCTGCAGAAGGCATGCCTGAATGGTCTCCCAAGAACATGAGCTTGTAACTCCACAGTCCTTTTTACAAGCTAGTTTTTATGCTTGCTGTTCACACTAGGATTAGCTTTTTAAATTGTGGAGATAGCATCTATTGTTTAAAAATTATTCTAAAGATGAACATGCAGTCTTCTGTGTAACTAATACAGATGTTTAATGCTGTTGTATTCATACCGATGCTGTGGATCTGAGATCCATATAATTGAATAAAGGCTAATATTATTGTAAATGATTATTTAAACAAGCTGGGTTTTGTTCTTTGCTTACAAGCTATCAACTTGACTGTGTCTTACTTCAGGTTTCTTAACAAAAATCAATCATTTTGAGTTCTGTGTATGTGTCTGTCTTCTAAGTACTATGCATCAATAAATTCCACTACTGTAGTGCTTTTAGAAGGTAAAGACTTTAAAACAAAACCTCTTTCTAGGAGTTCACAAATTTTAGATGACCTTCTCAGGCAGACAAAATGTGTGGTTGACATTGACTTTGCTCCTCCAGGTGAAATTTTGTCTCCTAGATCATCCTGGTTGTGTTAAGAGGTGTGCATATGAACCCACGTGTATGTTTAGTACTTACATGTATTCCTATTCACACTCCCAAGAGGTTTGGCTTATTTTGTTGTAAACGTGCACTCACTATAAAACGTGCTTACCTTTAATCTTATGCCCCAAGTTCACACAACAGCAAAAAAGAAAGATTGGTTTATTACCTGAAATGAAAGTGTAGATGCTGCTTTCAGATAGCAGTTACAATATTAGTGGATCAAGGACTGTGCCTTTTGTTTGAGAGTTACGCTCTCCCCATCAATAACCAGCCAAGGCATAGTCTCTCTCACCCATTCCTTGGTCCATAGTAAGGCAAAGGGATGAGCATCGAGGAGCAAAGAGGAGGTTCACAGTGGAACTTTGAGCTCCCCAACCACTGAACATCTGGGAGATTAAGTATTATTTTGAACCAAAGTATCCTTTTGGAGAAGGCAGGGATATTTTGAGATGGGTTTTGTGTACCATACCCAGTTTGAAAGGGCATTACCCTAATGTTAAATGATTAACTAGTTATCTTGTGTGTTTCCTGAATCATGACTTTACTTTTGGAGGAAAAATTCCAGTATCTGTACAAAACTTCATTCTCTCCTACAGGAGGTGATGATTAGACTTTGCTGGAAACACAAGATCAGTGTGCTGATCTTTACATTAACTATTAGGAGGTCAAAATAGTAACTCATGCCTTCCAGGTTACATTTAAGATAAGGAGTAGTACCAGGGTCAATATAGTTTATTGAGGGGTATATTTTATATCAAGTTATGCCAACTTCACTGATGCAATGACTGACAAAAATAAACCAGGGGAAAACAAGAGGAATTTTGAACATATGCAGAAATGGTAATTGCTACTTCTAAAAATTGGTAATGTAAAAGCAAACAAAGCCTCCCTTCTTTGCCTGCATTCCAGATCTCTTTAAGGAAGTGGCAGGACCTACAGAAATGTGTGATCAGAGGCAGCTTGGGTTATTGCTTCATGATGCCATCCAAATTCCACGACAACTTGGTGAAGTAGCTGCTTTCGGAGGCAGTAATATAGAACCCAGTGTCCGCAGCTGTTTTCAGCAGGTAGTAACTTTAGCTTTCCTTTAGCAGATTTAAATGTATCTCTTGACTTGCTCAGACTCTTCTGTTTGGGCCAGCTCTGGTATTTACAGAAACCACCTTTTTAAAAAGAAAAAATGGGGAGGGATGATGTCACAGGTCTATAATACTAAATACAACTACTAAAGCTTCATGCAGATAATTATATTAAAGGAATTTTTCTATGAACTGGAGTAAAAAAACCCCAATCAGTTTTGTCACTCTGACCCAAATAAATCATGATGGCGTACCCAGTGTGCCATCAGCAGCAGAAAGCTGATTATTGTCATCTTTGCTTAATTGAATATTGGTAGCAGGAGTGCTCTGATGACTTCAGTGTTAGTCACAGTATCATTGCTGTGGGGACCCCCAGTTGGGAAAGATCCAAGTTTCTTGAAGAAGAAGAAAAATGTGAGGGTAGATAAGTTTTAAAATGAACATTCAAATATTTTCTAATCTGGTTTTCATTTATTAGAATAACAACAAGCCAGAAATCGATGTAAAGCAGTTCATAGACTGGATGCATCTCGAGCCGCAGTCCATGGTGTGGCTGCCTGTTCTACACAGAGTGGCAGCGGCAGAAACAGCAAAGCATCAGGCGAAGTGCAATATCTGCAAGGAATGCCCAATTGTCGGCTTTAGGTAAGCAGAATAAATCATTTACATGTTAAGAGGAGAAGGAAGAGAAGTGGGTGGCTTGCACTTAAAAACTGTTGAAATCTAAAATTTATTTGGTTCCTGATTGTGAGGAGAGGGGTGCTTTTAAACTGGCCCCACCCTCTTTTGATTGGGCCACGTCCACATGGTCTGTTTGTCTATTTTGTAACCCATCTTTTTCTCCTGATGGCATACATGATTCCTCCCCTCATAATTCAATCCACAATAACCCTGTGAGGTAGGTCAGGCCGAGAGGCTGTAACTGGCCCAAGGTCACCCAGTTGAGCTTCATGGACACTTAGCTCCCAGGTGCTAGTCTAACACTCTAACCACTACACCAAACCTGGGTCTGGTCATGCCCCTCCCCCCAAATGGCACATGTGGCCTAGTCAAATAAAGGCTGCTGAGCCCTGAACTACCAGATATCCTACTTACATACGTGCTGCTACAAAACCATTAA